TTAAAGCACAAATGGCAGCTAAATGGCTCAGGCGAAATACAGCAGTATACAGCAGTACTGGCCTGCAGTCGCACGAATAGCCAACGGTATCGTGGCTCGAGTTCGTGCTGGTACCTGTGACGCGTTGTGCCGTCACTCTTTTCTGCCCTTGTTGCCTTATTGCATTGACATTTGCAGCCTTTCCGGTTGGTTGGCCATTCTCATGGCCCTTCCTTCTGGGAAGAAATGCGAGGGTAAACTAGCTGCAACATACGCACAGCAACACAAATGGGCACGTGGCGCCTCATCCTGCAGATGCTGGGTGCTCACAAACCAGAATTGTCCTTATGCCCTTCTGCCGCGAGCGCCGGGGCATCAAACAAGCACCGAGCGGACGAAGGCTCGGTGGGGAAAACACCCGTCACAATAGACCCCCCAAGGCTCGACAGCTTTAGATGTGCAACCACTGAAGGCCCTACCCGAACACATGGCTGTGGGTCAAAATCAATGGTACCATTTTGGGGTAGGTGCACCACCCATTTTAGTCTATTTTAGTGGGGATCGGGATGTTCACTGGGGGTACGGGATTTTGACCCATGGGCACATTGATCCGAGAGGAAGCAAAACCAGCTCGGCTGGCGCCCTGTCTAGGGCACACTTTGGACTGCAGCATCCAGCAGAGGTCTCAACAGCAGCGACCTGGCCGGCAAAGCTGTGGGCGAATGTCATCACAAAGACCCTGCCATTCAGGTAGACCAATTTATCCCTACAGCAAACCCCAGCAAACTCAAACGCCTTTCCTCCGCTTCGGTTTTGTTTCGAGCATACTTACCAAGACTTGCGTAAAGCTAAGCACGGGACAAGCAATCGCGATCGGCGCAGGTGCCAAGGCCCGGCTTTGTGGTCCTGCAATGCGCGGCTATGGTGCCAAAGCCTATTTCGGAAGAAATACATCGCCAATTAAAACAGCTGCCCAAAGTTCCTGTCATTGAAAGGTCGCTTGGATTCTTAGAGTCCCCATTTCAGTTGGCATCTTTCTATTGGGACTCTCCTATTGTTGTTGAGCTCTGAAATGCTCAAATGTTGCTTGCGTGTTATTTCCGAGGGCGCCATGTGTGTGTGTCCCACATGTTTCACAGAACGGCACTACCTTCAACAAGCCCTCTTCCAACTTTGACGCACCTCAAGCAAACCCAAACAACAAGCAAACAAGCAAGCAAACGACCAACCAAACAAACAAAGCAACAGACACAAAAATACACACACAAACAATCAAACGCTAAATGAAACAAACGAACAAACAAACAAACAAACAAACAAACAAACAAACACTAAGTCATGTTAAATGAAACAAACAAACAAACAAACAAACAAACAAACAAACAAACAAACAAACAAACAAACAACACAAACAACACAAGCAAGCGAGCAAACAAACAAACACGCCAAACACACCAAACAAAACCCACCCACCCACCCACCCACTCTAGCACGCACATGCACGCGCTTCTTCTGGAATCTGCTTAAGGGAACTCCTCTCACCGCGGCTTAGGTGGCAATGCAAGGACAAGGCATGCTGTGTTCTCGAATGGGGCGGCAATTGGACAGCAGCAGCCAGGTGGCTCTCGGATATCGCTAGATTCTGTTGGGCGCCTTGCAGGGGGGCCACTCAAGCAACCACTGATAAGCGGCAAGCCCGAAGCCCAGCGGCTCTCAAGTTGGCATTGCTCCTCACCACCTCGCCGCTGCAAATCGGGCCTGAAGAGAAGGGCAGCGGCTGAGATCGCCCCTGTGATTCACCTCTTGGAATCAAGAGTGCAGACACTCAAACGTCGTACGTTTGCGCCTTCTGATGCCTGCAGCTGGTTACAGTAGCTAGCCGGCCGATTTGGGAAATGGCAAACTGCAACACCAGGCCTTGTCCCCTCAGAAGGCCACTTGAGAAGCAGTACACGTGAGAGCGTGTTCCAGTGCTGCCTGGCACACAAGAGGAGGAAAGCCCTAAAAAGCCCCAATTGCTCAGATTATTCTCTGCTGTAGAACGCTTTCCTAGTGATGCTCCTGCACGGCAAGCCTTTGCTAGAGCATGGTTGCAAGAGGGTCTTGCCGGCTGAGTCCAAGTGTCCATGAGCCGAAAATCACCCATGTCCGCATGTCGCTCTGGAGGCGGCTTGTGATATTTGCAAATGCGAAGCAGGAAAATGTCTGATGCTCTGCGCGATTTTCAAAGTGCAGATTGCGAACGCTTCGGTCGCTTCTCCGCATGACTGAGGGCTTGCGTATTTCTACAAGCAGCTACCACTAGTAATAGGTCACGGCACCAATGCCCCACGTGCTTCACTCTTGCAACGTTAGCATCACTCCGAAACCGTAGGTCAGCAAGGTCCGTCCAAGCATGACCCCAATAGAGCTATCAAATCGCATTGGGCTGCCAATGGCAAAACAACACAAAGCCCTCATATGGACTGTCGCTTGGCGGGGTCAGTCTGCCCTTAATTTGACTTTGCTCTGAATCCAAATCCAGCTTCCTTTAACTTCCCTTTCGAAGCTTGTATAGGGGGCCCCCATTTTGGCGCACACGGACCGAGCGGTTGGTGCCTGCATCCACCACCACAGCAAAGCGGGGCTCTGCCTCTTGGTCGAAAAAGTCTCTCTGTGCCAAAGGAAGCAGCCTGAGCCGCATGATGTCAGGCAACCTTAATAACTTAAGGTCGGCGGGACAGGGTTCCCAGCTCCCATCGCAACTCCACACGTTGATTCCAGCAACTGGGGAAACAACCGGCTCGAGTGCTCAGCTCTGGGGCAGCATGTTTTGCGCTGGCAAACCAACAAACTTCAATTTGACAGCCAACTCTGCGAGGACATAATGCGACATGCATGCATGTACGCCTGAATCCTGTGGCGCATGCCGCACGAGCAGTCTTGTCTCCCTGATCTCGTCTTCCCATCTGAGCATGCGCACCCGGAGAGGCAGCTGCCCAGTGAGACCAGCCAGGCCAGCCAACAGGCAGCCTAGCACTAGTCCAACAAGCGCGTTCTGCATGATAGCGATTTCACCTTGTACCGGGTCATCTCTCTTTTGTAGCTGAAGACTGTGCACCTTTTCGCCTTGAGGCAACGTGTGCACTACCAGCAATCCTGTGAAACGACCGCCCGGCTCTTGTGGATTCGCAGTTCTCCCTTGCCGCTTGCTTCACTGCCCGGGGCCCGGTCCTTGAAGTGCCCAAATCGCTGCCAAGATGTTACTCGGGGCGATTTGGAGGGAGATGGCGGCCGATTCTTCTCCTGCAAGTCAGGTCAGGGACAATTCCAAAACCGACGGGATGTTGCTCCAAACGCAAGTTGGGCTGGTCAAATGCGGTCAAATGTCAGCTGACATGCGACACGGTTTGCGGCTGCAGCATCGCAACCCAGAGGCCGTTCCTTGCACTACCTTCTAACCTGAGGCTGCTCAGGGTAGGGCCCCAAAGAAACACCTTGAGCACGAACAGAAAAACAAGACTGACGAAACTGATCAGAACACCTACATGCTGCTTCATATTCAGTACGGCATGTACGGCTGGCTTCCTCGCAGGCGAACTCCAAAGCGCTCCCTGCCAGAATCCTTCTAGGCTCAGGCCTGCTGCACAATCCGAAGCCGCACACATCACAATCATCACATGCCAGACCCTTCTTAAGCGGTGTCCTGGGCGGGAGGCCACGCTTCCTCATGGAATTGGATGTCAATCCATACCTCAGTCATGAAGCCCTGTTTGAAACCCAGCTTTGCTGCGCGATATCAAACGCCTTGACGTGACCGAGATTATTTCCTGTGGCTTTTCTGCGCAGATCGTGCCAACTGCCACCCATACAACAATCAATGATCCAGAGCTTTCCGACTTCTCACTTCATGAGTGGATTGGCCAAAAAAAGAAGAAGTCCAAAGTCCAAACGTCTTATCTACCACCAGAACTCTCTTTCCAAAAAGTGACTCGAGTCCAGGGCCTCAGGAAGTGCGAGAGCAACCTTCTTTGGCGGACCCCTTTTTGGGTTGAACGTCACTGGACCCCGCTTTTGGGCCCTATGGCAAGTCAAAGATTGCTCTCACAGATGTCCAGGAACTCAGGAAGTGAGCACTGAAATTTCAGGAACATCCATAGCTTCGCAGCGCCCGAGTGCGGGGCCTTAGGCTTGGCCATAAGTCCATTTTCGGAAGGGCCCGGCGGGCGCGAGGCTGAGGGATGTGGCGATTGAATTTTCATGGCTGCTTGGTTGCTGTTGACCCCTCTGCAAAAAGTTTAACTTTTTGTGGGTTTGATTGAAAACCCCTTGATTTCCAAAAAAGTTGAAGTCTAAAGATCCAACCCAATAGCAGTCAAGGTTGGAACCTCCTGAAAAGTGGTTGGTGGACGATTTTTCCTCACCGAGTCTTGATGTCCACCATTTCGGGTCCCGAACTCAAATTGATTCATACCCATATTATTGTGGCAACGGGCGGCGCACTTGCTGCAAGTGGGGAGGGCAGCGTTTTCCTCAGCTTCCATTGACAAATTGAGGCCTGAGACGACTTGCTTTGAGCCGCTTGACGGCGCTGCTTGCTACTTCTAGTTTGGGGAATGCATTCGACCACGCAGGACATGCTGAATCCTCACGTGCCTTGAGCAAGAAAAGCTCAGCACAGCCGGCCCCCTCCAACAAAAAGACCGAATGCTGAAAGCCCTTGCAGCTCCCGCGGCTTCTTGCTGGCCCCCCAAGAGTGACCTGCATGCTCGGAATGACTTGACCCAAAGCAATGGTGGGCCAGCAAACATGCAAGCGCCGCATAACGATTTTTCACGCTCGCAAAGATTATTCATGGATCTTTCTTTCTGTTGGGGGTCTCCTCCTTTTTGAATGGCTTTTAAGGGAAACAAGGAAACAACCCGCTTTGCGGGGCTCCCCCTGTTTGAGACAAACCCTCATGACTCAGTCCAAGCATATGCCGCTCTATCACAATCGCCGTTGCAGGTTACAGGCTCCCAGCATAAAACAGCTTGCCGTGCCTCGTCGCAGCCTGCGTCTGCCAAAATCAAAACGAGTGCCATGTGAAGCCACACCTGAATGTCACCCCGTGCGATGGAAACAAACCGCAATGGTGTGGCTTTTCCGGTGCATTTGAGCTCATGCGAGAACGTGTCATTCGCCATTTGTGCTTTCTGGGGGCATCATTCTGAAAAATCGCAGCCCAGGTCATTGCTTTGAACTCTGCTGTCAGGTTTCGGTTGGAATAGTAAATAGACCGTACTCCTCATCTCCAAACAAGCGGCAAAGGGGAGAACGGACATTTGCACGTTTGGGCGTGGTTGGGGGGGAGCCACTGAATGGAGCCAAAGGGGGCGCCAGGCTGCAACACAGAACCACACACAAAACACGGAGAAACCCAACAACTCATGTCAATGCAACTTAATTGACGCAAACAGCCAGCACTCACATCAACTATAGGATCCCAACAGCCAAAAGGACCTCGAGGACAAACAAGTCACACACCCCAAACAATCTAAGCGCGTATTTCAGGGTCAAGTCATGGTTGCAAACTTGCTGCCGCTTGCTGGGGTTCTCCACTTGTTGGCTTTGCGTTGTCTTTCTGCAGTGTTTTTTTTGTTAGTTGGTGTTCTAGAGTTGGCTTGGACTTGTTTCAGGGTCCGTGTCTGCGCTTTGAGATTGCTCACCTTCTCGGTGGTTGAGTTAGGTAGCAAGTCATGTCCATGATCAAATGTGTGGCTCACGCCGCTGGATTTTGTGGGGCTAGTGCCACTTGCCGTCCATGGGCCATAAGCAATTCATCATCATGCGCTTATGCCCTTTGTCTGCCCACTCTTTGCGTATTCGATCTAAAGATACATTGCCTTTTGGAAATGGAAGGACTGCGACTCTTACTGTACCCATGCGGGTTCCAAAATCACCCGACATGACCTTTGGGCTCTAAAGGGATACCAACACCTAGACCTGGAACCGACTAGAATCAGGGGCCCAAAGGGTATCCCGCCTTGCCTTGCCTTGCTGCCCCCAGAAATTGCCCCGAGCTGGCCCAAGAGCAATTGCTCGAAAGCCCTCCCTCCATCTCCCTTACATTAACCCTTGCCGGCACCTCAGCTGCCCTTTGTTTCGCAACGGGTAAATATATCCTGAGAGTGTTTCTTTTGGCGGAAGGGAGGCGCTTGATTGCCAAACACCTGTGCTGGATTGCCAACTCTAGCGCTGCAATTCGGCCCTGGCCTTGCCAAGCACTGGGGCTCTGACAAGACATGGCCCCATGAGCCCAGGCCAAGTTGGCCAGATCGATGGTGGTCAGCTCAGCCTCGGCACTTCGCCCAGGCTTAGAAAGTGGGGAAGGCCCTTTTGTGCCCACGAGTTCGTCATGAGGGCAAACATGTTTCCCTGCCGGCCCCACTCTGATGAAAACCAACTCCAGCAGGGCAGCTTCAGTTGACATTTCACGCAGCAAACTGTTCAAGAAAAGTATGAAGAGTCCTGGGGTCCGTTGTTTTTCTTTTCTGTCTTTCACCCTGAGCCTGCGGCCATAAGGTCCAAGCACGAGGACGAGAGGGCTGCAGTCAGTTGGTCGCCTCAGGCCACGCGCTCCGCCAACCGACACATGCCTACCATCCTCGAAGAGCAACACATTGACATACGTATCATAGGTGACCTTTTCCAAATATAGATGGCCCTGGTACTTGAATTGAAACCCATCTAAACCAGTGAAATCTAGCTCTAGCCAAACCAACCTAAAAAGGACACCTATGACATGGTTTAATGCTTCTTGCCAACTGCCGGCTGTGCGCTCTCACGGGCCCGATCCTGCTGTCCAGCAGTCGTGCCACAAGTTCACAAGCAGAAGCGACGTGGTCTCTGCGCTTGGTCCCGTCCGACTGCAACATGGCCGGTGCAACGGATAGGCAGCCGACCTTCGTGAAACAGCTTGGTAGCCGCCCGCAGCATGTTGACCTGCAGGCACTGTTCTGTGTTGGGTGGGTGTTGAGGCAAATTCTGGAGGCAAATCATCCACAAACGCCTGGAGGTGTCATTTCTTGTCCCGGCAACGAGTTTGCACAGCCAAGCATGTCAAGCTGAGACTGGCACAAGGCCCTGCGTGCCAAACTGCGGCATCAGAGACATGCACACCTATGGCGCGGCGCCCTTGCAGCTGCTTGCCCAATGAACCTACTTGATCCATTTGGCGATGCTGGCAATTCCTGGAGGCACTGACATTAGATAGTGTGACTCTTCTGCGGGGGCCGAACCAAACCTTGATAAACAAAAACCAAAAAAACAGGCACGGCATCCTTTCATGGAAACAGTCCCCCAGTTTTATTTCGCCCAACACAAGTCCTGAAGAAAGTCAGGAGGGCTGACACGATGGCTGGCAGCTACCATCACATGGATGAACTTCAAAACAATTAACGTTACCCTCCTTGAATGAACATAAGGGCAACTGGTAAAACTGTCAGGGGCCAGCCCGAAGTTGGTTCCGTCAGTCTCATCGGCAATGAGCGCGACTGGGCCACGCGCAGGAGACATAGCAGTCATTGCCTGCGGCAATGATACCAACAGTTAGGCAAAAAGTGGATCACAAATTGCTGGAGTGGGTCATCAAGGGATGGCATTCTTCAGGTCCTACACTATTTCAGTGCATGGCCGAAACATACTCCCAAAAGCGATGCTTACAATACCTACTTTATGTACGTGCATGTGCATGTGTATATCTATACATATGTATACATACACAATGACAAGTAGGGCCTAAACAAAGTCCATCTGACTCTGGGACTGGCAAGACTGACGGAGCCACGCAACATGCATACTTTCTGGAGGTCAGCTGCCAAACAGCAAATGAGAGGCTGCTTCCAAAACATGAGCCCCCAACTTCCAGATGCGCTCGCATGACGGAACCCCGCCTCGTTAGGGCAATCACTCTGAGGCTGGCGCCGGCAAATCAAAGACTTCCAGCTTCGCAAAAGCCCAGGCGCTGTTTGCTACCTTTGGGGGGAGCCCAAAGCATCGCGTGACAGTTGGCAAACACATAGCGCCGGCTCTAAAACCGCGAAGCACGGCTTGTGTCAGGCCCATTCTGCAATTTACAGCACCACAAGTGCTGAGGAGAAATCCAAAGTCAAACAGGTTATCAAACATCAGCTGGGGGAGACGCAATGGGACACTGCACAGGACACTGCGGGTAAGAGCCACGCATGCTGCGAAGTGAACGTGCCCATCTTGTCGCAAGCCTGGCGCCTATTGCGACGGAATGCTGCGTGAGACTTACTCAGCCTGGCCAGTCAATTGGTTTATGTTCTACTTGGGAATTGCTTGCCAAGCATCATGCATATCTGAATCTGGGTTGCTACCAAAGGTGGGAGTGCTTGACTCATGGCATGCCTTGTAGCTGCCATCAAGGGCTGATGGTACCTCAGTTAAGCCAACGAGGGCACAACAGAGTCAGAGCACATCAGTTTGCACGTAGGGCACCAATCAATTTTCATAAATCGCCTCCCTCCGGCCAATCAGAAGTGGTCTGCAGGCATGCCGTACCATAAGATGCCTTCGGCCGCTGGGCTTCCTATCTGCAGGCGGAACAGGTGGGCGGAGGGGGGGGGAGGCTCACCGACCCGCTCGAAAAACCAGACGGGCTTCCGCTGACACGTGTCATTGTCAGCATCTTGAGCCTCGAGTTGAAACCGAGTCCGCCACGGACACAGCACAGCGAGGGCCCAGGCAGTGTTTGCCAGGCCTGCGCTGGAAATGCTTGGCTTGAGACAGCGGACTCACCTTACCAAACCTTCAGGTTCTGAAGACACTTGCCCTTGCAAACAAGTGAAGTTGTCTTTATTGTATGATTCGATGCTTCTTTGGTTTGAATCCTGTTTCAAGAACACTGCCATGACCTGGCCAGCTGCGCCTTGTCGGTCTGCCTTGTCCGCGCTTTGGAGGTAGGCATCCGCGATGCCTTGCGGACAAGACCACTCTGTATGCGGTTGCCCGTTTGGCTTTCAATGGGCCCTGGACTCGACCAGCTCATCTTCCCGAGCTGGCGTTGGAGCAAGGAGAAGCTGACTGGCCGGCCAGGCTGATCGTAGAGGAACATGGGCGAACATCTCCCGATGTTGCTGCTGTCTGCGGTTTGCGGGGTTTGGTGTGCTGCCTCAGAGATCCCAAAATGCCCTTTGCCGCCGTCCTATCCAAACGACCTGAAGCAAACCAAGGTGGAGAAGGGCACAGCCGTACAGTAATTAAACCCCACTCATCGATGACAACAGACCTCGAACCAGCCCACAAGGGCCGGGTAAGGCTCGCATGTGGGGCCTGGGCCCACTGGGTCTCTGGCAGTCTGACAGCTGCCGATCTTGATGGTTCAGCTTCCCCGGGGCCCGAACCAAGTTGGACCTGAGCCGATTGACATGCCACCCGCGCAAACTGGTGCTCAGATCAGGCATGTGACGGAAGAAATAAAGAAACCAACATGGAATTTGGCAACTTAAGGGATTGGCCAGTTTTAGCAGAGCCTCATTTATTCAACCCCGTTAAAATCCTCCTCACTGGTAGCACCTTTGCCGTGTGCAAAAACATGCAAATGAAATGCCGGTCCATTCCTCTGTATTGCAACGTTGCCTGTTGACCAACCATCTCTCAGCTCCAAAACGCAACCTCCAACCGCACAGCCGCCCCCTGCCCCATTCTGTGAGGCCAGCGGATGTCGCGAGGTGAGCTCCTGAATCCTGAAGGCATGAAGCGGGCAACCAAGGTCCAAATATATAACCATAATACTTGCAGAAATGCAGCTATAATTATATGTATATATATATATATGTATATATATATATGCACGTATATGCGTGTGTAGGTATGCATAGAAATATGTAATACAGACACATCCATGTAGCATTCTGTGTGCCAGTTTGTCTGTATGCGTGCATGTCCGGAGAAAGCATCAAGCAAAAGCCTCCTCTTCAACAGACGGAAAACGCACGAAATCTAGCAGCCGCTTGGTAGATCAACATCGACGATCCGTTGAAGGCAGGCTCAAAGCTTGCTGGCTGAGGGATCCTCGCAAGCATCAAGTTAGAAGTAATATTAAGGTTAACCTCATCTGAAAAACAGGGTCGGTAGACTCACTTGTTTCTTTTAAAGAACTGCTAGGTCAGCAGCATTCAGGTGGTTCGGTCCTTGCTGGCCTTTCGGTCTGTCGTGTCCCAGTGCCCCATAGGAACGCTCCTGGCTTGACTTCCTCTTCCGGTTGCGCTCAGGGCCGACACACTGCGATGTCCTCAGTGGACAACGGGCCATAGTGCCGTGTCTGCGAGTCAAGAAATCGTCAACGTTGATACTTGTTGCAGCTTGATTGGATTGTGCTTTTCTGCTCACGTGTCGGCCACACTGGCCCATCATTGAAGCTCTGCGAAAGGGTTTGAAAGACGTTGCAGGACCAATTCAATAGCATTTGTTTCAGGCTGTCGGATCACGAACTGCTTGTCCGGAGGGCCCCTCTTGTGCCAGTGGGACCCTGGCCCAGTGTAGCAAGTGGCCACGCCACCTAGGTCGAGCCGCTGGGCCGGTGTGTCTTTCCTGATTCATTCCGTCTGACCATGTCCTCGTCCCTTGCAAAAAAAAAAAACAAACAAACAAAAAAACACACACACACACACCATGAATCACATGGCAGACCACCAGCAAGTGACTCTGCGATCCTGATCCCCGAGGCCGAATCACTCGCCAGCTGCTGCGGATGGCAATCAGGGCTCAGCTGGCAGCTGACCTTCAAAGCAGCCGGCCGTGGGTCAAGGGTTGTCGAACGAAGTAGTTGCGCGTGCCGCTGTTGGGGCAAGGTTTCTGGTTTGTTGCAGTACCCTAGTCTTTGTAGGCAACGATCCGAAGCCCCCTCCTTTCTTTACCACAAAGCGCAACGAGGTCAGCTAGGCAGGGCGAGAATTTGTGTCTTTGCATTGTGTGCCATGGATTGCCCCCCGAAATTTATTGCTCAAATCGCAGAACTTCTCTGCGCCTCAAAGACTGAGGACGCGGCGGCATCAGGCAAAGGCACCTGACTAAAGAAGCGCCGAATCAGGGAGCCTTGGGCAACTGGGCCCGCCTCTCGATGTCGCAGCTTGCCCATGGCCCAACCTACAGTAAGGCCACAAACTTGTGACACAAACATGGCATGTGCCCCACCCCCCGCTTGACATTGGCCCGCGCTTGTGTCTGCCAGGTTCTGCATGGTGAGCTGGGGCCTGAAATGGGCCCAGGCATTGCGTCAATTGGCGGGGCTCAGGCCACCGTCCCAATGCTACAAGCAGCTGTTTGCACTCTCACCCAATGCAAGCCACCTGGTGGACGGAAGGCAGGCTTCCAACACACCACCGATTTACACACTAGCTTTTTTTTCAAGGATACCGACCTTTTGTTTCAATCTGCACTCAGTCAAATGATCATCATAGCCCATGTGAGTTTTTATAACTTCAATGTCTGTCCCCCCATCTGGTGTTGGTGTGTGGGCGGCCGTGGGTGCATTCACAAAGCTAGGCCTCATTGCCCAACAAGGTGGCGGGCTGAATGCGGAGGATGCCCCAACATTGCCAGGCACAGGCAACCCTTGAGCCACCAATAAGGGGCTCCGAACGCAGTCGGCTGTGGCGTTTTCTCTGTGCCGAGGCAAGGGCAACAAGTGCGGCATCAGCTCGAAGATCGGCGGCTGCCGAGGCTGGACTTTGGCCCTGAGACAAACCACCGATTTGGTCAAATGGCCAAGTCTTAGCTAGCGGCGTGCACAGTTATAAGACGTGGCTGCACGTGCTTGGTCATCCAGGCGCACCAGCCAAGAATCTGAACAAGGAATACAATCCAGCGCTGGAAAATCGTGCTCCAAAGAAGGTGGGATAGTTCAGTATAGTTCTGGCCGGTGAACGGCTCAACCTGCACTATGTGGACGACTGATTGGTCAAGGGCCTTGAATAATCAAGGGTAATGTCAGGAGACGATTAGTAACCCAATTAAAGGTTTCCCCGTTCCCCCCCAGGTTCTCACCAATATCAAAGTACAGGGCCAACAAGGTTTCCCCTAAAAAACCTACCCAATTAATTTTGGCCCCTCCCCAACCCCCCCCCCCCGATTAAAGGTATCACTCTGCAGCCCCCAAGCCAAAAAAACCTGCCAGAAAAGGGACTTTCCTTCATGCTTAGTGTTTGCTTAGTCTGTGCTTAAGCCCACCAATACTAAGTTACTATTAAACCCCTCAAGTTTTCGTCAAACACAACATGTGCTTCCCCAAACATGTATTTTCTTTATTAGAATTTGTTTAAAGTGACAAGGTGTTCAGGCTCTCAAAGGGAACCCCCTTCAAGGCCAGCCCCCCCCTCATTAACATAAAATTTAATCAGGGCCCTTTGGGCTCAAAACCCACAAACACTGCTGTTGCCTTTTAAAGTTCTACTGCCCAGAAGGGCCAGAAGCAAGAGGACGAGGACAGAAGGGACTCGAGATTAATCAGGGGGGTCCTCCAAAAAATCTCAATTTGGGGACTTGTCCAAACCTTGTCGACCTTGAAGGGGGGGGGGTACTAATCAGTTGTCACCATTAAGTCACGAAGAAACCCGCCAAAGCAACATTCTGGCGCAACTTGGGCCTGCCGAAGTATATACGGGCTCTTGTCCGCCTTCGGTCCGTGTCGAATTGGGTGTTCTTTTTTGGGCGGCCATTTCCGAGAAAGCCGTCTGACCCCATGCAGTGCATCCAAAACACACATATTCGCTTGCACCAGTTTGCACTCCAAGGCGCGTTGACCGCAACACACTTGCAGGGCTCTGCGGCGTTGACTCCTGAGAGTCTAAACCGCTCGGCTGGGCGCAGCTTCTGCTACAAAACCACATCTTTTGCCCGAGCACATGGCCGATCCCTTGCCAAGCCTAGGGACAAACTCGCAAGTGGAAAAAGATAGGTCACTTCCACAAGAGTCTTCTTTTTGTCCAACATGCCAGCCAAGGTGCATGAATCTTCAAAACTTGCCAGGAACGCTCCAAGAAACAAGCATCGACAGCCCTTCCAATGAACTCGCCAAACATCGATGACACACTGGCGCATCCAAGCCGGACCCGCTGCAGGGCAGCAGCTGAAGACTCCATCGAAGGAATGCTGGTTTACCTGCGGGCAGTGGCGGAGTCCCAGGTTGCATGCTCGAGTCATGATCAGGGCCAGCGCTTGGCAAACGTGGCGACCAACACGCATGTGTCACGGTCCACTCTCCTTGGGCAAAGGATAGCCGTTGCACCAAAAGAAGCCCTTGGACTGCATATGCCCACCAAACGGTTGATGCCCATCGCAGAACACCTCGTTGAAAAACAAATTATGTTGATGCAGTTGATGCTGGAATATGTCGCCAGCCTCAGTGTGGTTAAAGGTCGTGCAATGCTCGACCTGAGGTTTCAGCCTACCAGCATCCGATGCTTCAACAGCAACTCAACAGCTCACTCCTGTCGTATGCTTTTTGCATTGGCTAAGAGACCAAGTTGGACGCTCGCATGACGCTCGCTTAGACTTGCCAAAGCCTACAAGCACTGCCCCACACTATGAGCCAGGCAAGTCCTGCGAACGCGATTCCGTCGCTCTCCTCAGCCGCAAAATCTGACGTCACGGCGGCAGGCCATTCGCTGCGCTTGGCCCTTTTCCCCCGTTTCCACTGATCCGCCTCCAAACACGTTCAATGCAGCGGCGCGACATGACGCAACCAAGCAAGCCTCAGCACCGCAAAGCAGAAAAACTACTCCCACGGCTTGAAGAGCTTGTGGCAGGAAAATGGAAAGTGTGCACTTGGAAAACGGCAGGTTGTGCACGCCTTGCGCCAGCAATTGCCGAATTCGAATGAAGTGTTAGTTGAAAAAAGTGGTGAAACCGCTGTGGGCGCAAACATCGGCATTCAATAAGGAAGGTCTGCCACGGCCCACGGCCCACGGCCCAAAAGCGCATCTCAGGGCGGAAAGCCGCCACACTCCACATACCTAGGTTCCGAGCGCAGGGCGAATAGCAACCTCATGAAACCATCACTTGGGTTGCATCTTTCAGGCACAGGCCTGAACAAGCTTGAAATAAACATAGCTGAACAACTTGTATTGCTTGAACATGCTAGAAACGACACAGGGCTAACAGGGCTAAACTACCTGGAGGCCAACTTTGAAGTGACCTGTGATGAGCAATGCTGCTAGTAACTTCAATTGGCCCGGATCTACATGAACACACCTCAACTGGACTACCTGTTGACGCTGAATCACTTCTGATCTTATCAATGATCGACTTGCGAATCCTCACTGATCTCCATACACCATACGAAAAATACTATGGATTTCAATGTGCAGCCTTCACCTTGGAGCGTGCCGTTGCGTCTCAGCCATTGCATGTCACCTCGCCAAGCCACTCCGACTGCAAATATACCGGTGTCAGCTCGCCGCTGGCCATCCTCGCCACACGCATTGGCACTACGCATGGGTTGCTGCAGCTCCATGCTAAAATCTGCTTGGCGCACAAAGGCGCTTGTTGTCATGACACATCTCGAGTCGAAACTTGGGTCTCGGCGACCCTATGCGAGCATGCAAATGCCGCCACCCAGACCAAAAACCAACTTTCTGCGGGGAAACGCCCTTGGTATCACATAAGCTGATCCCAATCCAGGGGCACACGCCCCAATTTTTTTTACGAAGAAGATCTGTCGCGCAGTGACCCCCCCACCCCCCCAGTCCTCACTTGGCCGTTGAAGACCGCGTCGAGGCCCTGCTCCAAGGGCGGGTGGGAGCCCCGCAAGGTCTCCCGCAGCGCCATGGTGGCGCTCAGCAGCTCCCGGAACGCCACCAGGTCCTCGATCCCGGCGTCTCATGGCGGGGGGGCCGGGCTGACTAGGGGTGCCCTTCAGATGCCCGTGCCGCCATGAACATGCCCACGGCGCTTCCATGGGGCTCAAGTAGATGAAAAACATTTCAGAAAGGTTACGGACTACCAGCGATGTGCAGTGAAACAGCCAAGTGTGTAATCGATACAGCTGTTCACATGCTAGATTCTGAATATCCCCTTCCGCAAAATGAGCATGGGTAACTCGTCCCGTTAGTTCCCTTCCGCACAATGAGCGTGGGTAACATTCATTCTTCGCGTTTAGCGGTTGAAATATCAAATCTGTTGTGGTGGGTAACGACCTTTAGCACTTGCACCGGATACAGTACCAGGTTGCTCTACAGGTCAACTCGTGTAAAGAACCTTTTGATCAACCCCCTGTCTTTAAACAATAAGGTTTCTGGTTGACAAGTTGAGGCGTCTCTGATGAAAAAGCTGTAAAATCATTCAAGCCTCCGCGGACGCTGCCGCTTTGTCCCGCTTTCCATGTTTCCGCGCATGGTGCGGTGCACATGTCCAAAACTAATTTCCCCGTACCCCCTTGCGTTCAGCTCCGGCTAACTGGTTCAAGCATCAAAACGAGATGTAGTAGTGAAATAAGTGAAGAAACAAGTTCTCGACTTAGGGTGCAGTCAGGCAACACCCCTGGTGCCCGGAAACCGGCTTGCCAATGTTGCACACAAGAAGCAACAGGCCAGGAGGGGCCCTGAATGCTCAAAGGCCTCGAAGAACAGCTTCGGGTAACGACCTTTAGCACTTGCACCGGATACAGTACCAGGTTGCTCCAATGTTGACTTAACCCAGTCAAAATTGGAGCAACCTGCTCCAAGCTTGACCCCACTGAGGGTTGTCAACATGGGGAACTTCAGGCTTGTAGCCTTTCTGGCCCTCTGACTGAAAGTGGGACCGTACTGAACCATGGAGCCAGGGCCCTGTCTTAACCTTCCGCGCGATTCGGACAATGGGTCCTCATCGGTCTCGATAGTCCCCAGCTGCAGCTTCCGAAGCTCATGCAAGTGCTTGCCCAGCAAAATGCGCTTTGCCTGGCCGTCCAAGACCCTGAAGACTAGACTTCTCTTCAATCTGCTTGGGTGTGGGGCTGAGTCTCCGGGGTCTTCAGTTGGGCACGTCAACACGTGCGTCGCTCTTTGGGGGCATCCAACTGATGACAGTTTGCTTCTGATGTGTTTGAACCTATCCACCCACAATCTCAACGGTCGCCTTGGTCTATATCAGCTTCTTCCAAAGTGCACGCCTTGACCCTGCATTGAAACATCCGAACTTCCGCAATGACTAGGGGCGTGATTATCCGAACTCGGCTAGGCCCACACGAGTTCAAGACTTGTTTGAGTAAGTGTTTGCTTGCTGGTAAGGGGTTCTCTGGTAAGCGTCACAGGGGTGTTGGGCGAATGTCCTGGACAGCCTAGGGCTCCTCTATTGAACAATGCACACAACTTATAAAAGCAAACCTCTGATCTCCCGATACTAAATTAGACTTTGGCAATACTGGAATAATTATCCAACAAATTTCCCGCCGAGCCCATTTGCAGTCGTATGGGTGGGCTCTCCCAACGAATGAGCTCAATTGCCAACACATTTCAAACTGCATGTTCAATCGCACCTGGCAAAATTGAATCGTGAGAACAAAAACTGCCTTGAGCGATTCGAGTCAAGTTCCTTACTCTACAAAGTACATTCTTGACTGCTTTGGTCATCAGCAAGAGGTGGACCGCCAATTGGACAAGGACCGAAGTGGAAACCATTTGGCCAAACATTGCTCTGTTGTCTCAAGGGAATATGTATCATCTGGGCCTTTTGTTACGGGGAACGCGATGGGGCTTGATCCTCGGGTCTTGAGGAAGCTTGCCCCATGAATCCCCTCTCCAATCTTCATGTTTGCGTTGGGAAACTCGACGCAACACAAGTGATCAAAATTGAACCAAATGCGCTTTCTTTTTTCCTCAGCCCTTTCCCCCTCCAAGAAACCCCGATCGCCCTCACTTCAACTCCTCTCTTCCCATCCCCCAAGGGCCCCAAAAGGGTCGAGATTAAATTCGGGATTTCTTGCTTTATTTGGGAAAAGCAAACAACACCATAAAACCAATCCTTAAAAAAAGGGCCCTCCGCCCCAGAAACCCCGGGCGATCCCGGGCGCCTTGAGGTCCTTCACCATGCGCGGCCAGGGGGCCTCCAGCGCCGCCAGCATGGCCGCCACCTCCGGGCCAAAGGCCTGCGCCACGTGGAGGTCCTTGCCTTCCGCCGTGCCCAGCAACAGCCCGGCCTGCAATCCGACGGGGCCCGACGGGGCCCGACGCGGCCCGACGGGCCGTGCCGGGGGTGGGGGGCTGGCAAATGGAACCCTGGGTGGAAGCATGGACCAAAACCTGCGGCCCCCTGGTGATTTACGTTTGACCCATACCATGTTTTTGAGGGGCCAAATCCTCTGGAGCCACTTGGAGGCCGCCAGCGGGTTTAAAGGTTGAACTTCTACCTAGGGTCAGGCTTGAACATGCTGGAGCGCTGCAGTTGGCCCCCACATCAAAACGCTGGCCGTTTCGGGCTTGGCACAAGAAGGCAGTCACGCCCCCAAGCCACACGATACATGGGCATCATGGAAAGCAGAAATTACAGGTAACGCCTCCTAAGGGTGCACGAGCAAGCATCAACCATTCAGTTCTCGCGGGCCGGCTCCTGGCCGGGAAGCAACCCATGACACCACCTTGCTCTTTATGCCAGCCTGCCTTGAGAGTTTCTGGATCCTTGATGTCGTGCCTGGAAAGAAGAAGCGCGAACTTCACCTTAGGCTCGCTGGCAACCTCTGAAGGGGTTACTGCAATACAGTGCAAAATAGAAAGCCAAATGACATGAACGACAAAGCTTCCAATGCAGGCCATACGCTGAAACGTCAGCAGCCCGCAAGGGTGACCAGTCTTGTGCATTCACCGGCTTGATATTGCAAAACCTCTCAGATTCACATGCCAGGATTAGCCGCGATGTCGATTGCTTGAAGGGCAATGGTGGGAGGTGCCGTGCGGAGACCGCACCCACACACACACACAGGCACACGAGGGCACCCATGGGCCGCAACCAACCACCTAGCTGTGCAGTCATGCTAGTCATGATGTTGGAAAGTTGCATTTTCTCAGGCTTTTGGCCAGCATGAAGCATTCAGCAGCCATGCATTCAGACTTGCGCGCGTTTGCTGCCCAGATTCTGATTCCAAGGCTTCAATGCCTTCTAGTTTGAAATGGAGGCCTTCGGAATCAATGCTTTGTCTCTATTACAAATCGGGCAACAACAAATACTATGCAAACTGGACATGATACATCATCGTGCCCCCGCTGTCAAGAATCATATTCAAACACTGCATTGCCATCCATCGCAACCCGATTGACTGACCAACCATCCAGCCAACAAACCACCCCAGCAAACCAAACAAGCAAGCAGTCAGTCAGTCAGTCAGTCAGTCAGTCAGTCAGTCAGGCAGCCAGGCAATCAATGAATGAATGAATGAATGAATGAATGAATGAATGAATGAATGAATGAATGAATGAATGAATGAATGAATGAATCAATGAATCAATGAATCAATGAATCAATGAATCAATGAATCAATGAATGAATGAATGAATGAATGAATGAATGAATCAATGAATCAATGAATGAATGAATGAATGAATGAATGAATGAATGAATGAATGAATGAATGAATGAATGAATGAATGAATGAATGAATCAATGAATCAATGAATCAATGAATCAATGAATCAATGAATGAATGAATGAATGAATGAATGAATGAATGAATGAATGAATGAATGAATGAATGAATGAATGATGAATTAATGAATGAATGAATGAATGAATGAATGAATGAATGAATGAATGAATGAATGAATGAATGAATGAATGAATCAATGAATCAATCAATCAAGCAAGCAAGCAACCAATCAAACAATCAATCGATCCCAGTAGCCAACCAGCCACCCAACCAACCAACCAAGCAATTAACCCATGAAAGACAAGCAGCAAGAAACAAAGAACAAAGAACAAATCAAAAAGCAAATAATGAACGCATGAACTGGTGATCGAGTGAACGAATAGACCAATGAAACAATGATTTGATGCCACAATGACATAATTAATGAAATAATAAACTAATGACCTAATGAACTGACTGACTGACTGACTGACTGACTGACTGACTGACTGACTGACTGACTGACTGACTGACTGACTGACTGACTGACTGACTGACTGACTGACTGACTGACTGAACAAATGAACGAATGAACAAACAAACAAACGCATGAATGAATGGATGGGTGCATGCATGAAACAGCAAAAGATAATGCAATAATGAAACGGAACAGAATGAACACACAAAATCACATAAAAAAAATGGAATGATCTGGAATGGGACCAACGAATAAACGAATGGATGCATGAATGGATAAATAAAGGCAATACTGTATGAATGGGAGGATTAATGAAGGACTGAATGCATGAATGTAACAATGGAAGGACATAATGAACAAATGACATATTTTTAATTTCAATCCTGCATGCATGCATGCATGCCTGAATAGAGGGAGGGAGGGATGTGCATGTCTGCCTGCAGGCATGAATCAATGAACTGAAACACCAAGCACCATATATAGCTTCCCCAACCCCCAAGCCCCATCCACGCCGGGCCGCGCTATCCAGGAGCTGCGTGGGGTTCCGCCAGGCCACGAACTCTGCGGCCCGCAGCAGCGAGAGCACGGCACGCTGCTCGCGCAGCAAGGCGGGGCCCGAGCTCGAGTCCTGAAGCTCTCAACCCGAGGTTCGCCAGAGAGGTTATATTAAACCCCCAAAAGGAGTAGGGGCTTCAAGCCCTGAACCAAAACACTCCAAACACCACCCAAACCAGGACCATCCAGTGAGGTTAGAATAAGGGTGCCCTTTTTTCATCTAGTCCATTTAGTAGGGGAACCCTGCCCAAAAAAGGGTAAAAGGGGCACTACTGGGGGACCTAGGACCCTTGCTTAGGAAACCGACCATTTTGGGAGACTACAATTTTGAGAATAACACCTAGCTGGGTCTGACATACTGGCTTTTTGAGTTAGAGAGGAGAAAAAAGGAGGGAGGTAAGGGCGAGCAAAGCAAGCAGCCTGCATTCTGCCAGGGGCATAAGAGGTTGATGGACTTTGCAAGCCAGCCATCTGGAATCTTGGGTGTTACGTTTTTGGATTGATTGGGTTGTCAGAGATGCTGCCTGGGAAATGCTCTTGAGGGCAACTCATCCCGTAGCTCGTTGCTACCACACTACGGTGCGCCTGTCATAATTGCATGCCCAAGCCGTTTAAGTGTTGCCGGTTGGTTCACGCGAGCAGCTTGTGAACAACTGACGCCACGATGAATGAAACGTTTCCTCGGGAACCTGCAATGGAAAAGGTAGATCAGGTTGGTCGACAGTTCCTTCCGGCCCCGCTGCGTCCTCCACAGGCCAGCCTTCGTTCCCTGTCTTCTGGGTGGCGAACTCCTGGCGATGCGAACCAAAGCACTGCCTGGCACACACACGCACACACATTCACTGAGTGGCCCCTCGGCCCACAGCACTCCCTCCGCACGTGCGCCCAAAGGCTCCTCCCAGTCTCCGAGACGGTAGCCCGGTGGCAGAGTCACCTCCTTGTGAAAACGCTGCTCCAGCGCTGCGTGGGTGCCCCTGCAAGGGGCCCGGGAGGGGAGAGGAGGGTGCAGGTGAGGGATGTGTGACTAGTGTCAAAAAAGTTGGAAAAAGCTGGGAAAGGTTCGGACAAATAGATGTCCCCCTGGGTCCCCCTGTTTTCAACGCCAATCAAAGGCCCCAAAGCCTCTTTTCAAAAACGTCAGCCTCAAAGCGTCCACCATCTCGCAGGCCCAGGCCACGTACCGCTCCGTCTTTTCTTTGGACCAGCCTGGCGCGAAGGGGGTTCCCTCGCAAGGCCACACGCCTTCCGTGAATTTCGGGGAAACAGTCAACTCTTGGCTTGCTGGGGCGATAGGCAGGGAATGTGGTTGAATGAACCCAGGCTTTGGTCCCCTGAAAGGAAACCACCAGTTGGATGGTTTGTAGGGTTCATTCCCAAATGTCCCTACCTATCGCACCAGCAAGGGGGTTCGGGCTTCGAGTTCCACGTTTGTCAACCACCCTGCAGCTCCCTTCCCAAAGCCAGGCACACCTGGAATCCCAGAGCGGAGAAGGTCATGTACGTTGTGCATTTTGTCAGAGATCCGCACCTCGGATGACTGAGATGCATGAGCATGCAGAAATGATCTGACCCTGCCACAACGGGCCCAGCTTCGAGCAGAAAAAAAAAAAAAAAACATTACAACAACAAAAAACACTTCACAATCACAACTTCCCAAGCCCACATGCTCGCAAGACCCCGCCATGCCCAGCCTCAGCCACCCACCTCCCCCCGAAAAGAACCCAAACCTCTGCCAAAAGTTTAACTTTTAGTGGCCTCATGGGAAAAAAAACAACCTTAGTTGGCAAAAGGTTAGGTGGTCCTAACAAAATTCTTGGCAACATCCAAAGAAAAGCCGGGCCCCCGCGCCAGCTTCGCCTTCCAAGGCAAGGCCTTGGCGCCTTTCAGCTGCCGCAGCTTCTGCTCCAGGGGCCGCAAGCGGTCGTCGTCCGTGAGCGCCTGACGTGGACGGGTCCGGGGACGGGTTGGCGTTGGGGGGGGTTGGGGTTGGGGTTGGGGTTTGGAGGCGGGGTCTGGGGGGGGGTTTGTGGGGGTTTGTGGGGGGGGGGGCAGTGCTTGAAGGATGTGGCCGTTGAGCTGGGAAGCCAGGCAGCAGCTCGAAAGAAATGGGTGTGGAGTTGTCATTCGGCACGCTTCGGACTTCATTTAGGTTTGGAGTCCTGTCCAACCACTGTTGAGGCGGTTCCAACTCTAAGCCCCTCCAAAGAACACCAACCAACAAAAACACAACACCCCCGTCCGGAGGAAGCAACAAGCCACCAGCTTGCGCCAGCGGCCCGGGCCTCCACCAGCTCCCGGACCTCCGGCCCGAAGCTGGCGTCCAGCTCAGCACAGCTGGTGTCCGTGTCCTGGAGGGCTTAAGCCATGTCTGGTGTTGGGGCCGTGGGCATCCGCCCAAAACGGGCTCCCCCCCCTCCCCATTCTCTAAATTAATGTCCGGATGTTACCCTACTGTCATGGCTCCTGGAAAAAGGGTACATCAGCTGGTCTTTGGGTTTGGCTTCTCTGGGGGCCCAGGGTGAAAGTAGATGGCATTCTGGGTAGACGTGGACAAGGGGATGGCCGAACCGAAGCTTGGAGTTGTGAGACATCGCATTGTTACCCAATTTTCGAGAACTGGCCGTCACAAAGCCCCCCTCGAAGAAACAACATGTGCTGAGGGCTTTGCGGGCACGGAATACAGTAACCGTTTTATTTTTCTGCAACAACTACCTGGCAATCGAAAGCCCTCGGGTACTTTCCGATCCTCTCCGGTCTTCTCTCTTGAACATTTGTTTGGCCAATGGAGTTGCAATGGGCAAACCACGGCATTGATTCCGTGTTCCAGTGCTGGGCCCGGTTGCTTGCGCTCTAGCACGCGCATGTGTGTGTCCTCACATGGCCTCACTGTGTCCTCACATGCCACGTTTTGTTCTTTGCTTTTTCACCCAAGTCAATCATCATACGAAGGACTCCCATGGATAGTTCCCACAGCATTAATAGGAAGGATTGCCCATCAAAAGCGTGATTGTCAATGCAGCTTATACTGGAAGAGTACTGCAGAGTACACCTCATGATTCTGTCACAGCTGTATCTTGAAACAACTGCAACAAGATAATGCGCGTGCTGTTGTGAGCTTGTCGGAGGCTGAGAACGGAACAGCCGTGGCTGAGAAAGGAATTGGCAGAGACGCCCATGGCTCTGGCGTTTGGCACCCGTCAAAAACAGCTGCTAACAATGGCAGGCTTTCCTGCGAGTCCGGCAAGCGCAAGCCGCAAATCCGATTTTCGCGCTGAATTATGCTTAGGATGCTTTCGACTAGAGGTAGGGATTCATATGTAGGTATACTACTCCAAACCCCAAAACACTCAAGATCTCATCTTCTGAAGCGTAAGGTGGTCAGCGCCGTACAAGGGCTCAAACAGCCCCAGAACAGGGGGCTGTGCTTCAGGCTCCCAAAAGGGCTCCCAAAAGGCTTAGTTGCAGAGATTGTTGAGGGGCGTTGTCAAGATCCATGTAACCTTGGTTGCAAGCTGACCCATCCCAAACTGGCCCCAAACCCAAAAAGGTGAGGGGCTCAAAACTAAGGGCAGAATGCTGGAACCCAGTTTGGTCAACGTCCTCCAGGGTGTCGTGAAGCAGTGCTGCTTGCAGAGTAGCAAGGTCACGGATGCCGACCTCTGCCAACGTCCGCGCCACAGCCAAGGGGTGGTTGATGTACCTCAGGCCGCCCCCCCCCCAAAAAAAAAGAAGCACCGCCACCTGTGGGCAACAAAATGCAACAAATAAGCCTTGGCCACGGTCACTGCTCGCGCAAGCCGGATCCTAAGCCGAGTCTCGGGGTCCGTTCTGGATTTTTCCTGGTTTGGTTTTGGTGCTTCGTGGCGGCAAAGATGATGGTCTCGAAAAGCACGGACAGTGGCTGCGGCTCTGAGAAGTTTGGCCCGGGCAGGATCCTCGGCTCGGGGGCGGGTCACAGTTGCGGCGAGGCAAAAGCCGATTGCACATAATATCACGCGCGGGAACGGCAGCGGTGCAGGGAAGGCAAAGTAAGACACAATGCGAACTGAAGTGTTGCCTCATGCCTCACCTTGCCATGCCCTCTGAGGGCTCCATGAGAAAAATGTGGTAGTGCAACATGCATGTTGGCAGGCCATTTCTGGCAGCACTTCGGGGCTCTGTACGGCTGCAGTGTACGCCGCCCATTTGGCCATGGGTCAAAACCCAAATCGTACCCCCAGCGAACATCCGATTCAATCCTTACCCCTTAAAACTCCAAGCCCTGGGGAAGTTAATCTTTTACAGACATATAGCCCATGTTACCCAAAAAGTTGAAAAGTTGTGTTTTTAAGAGGTAAGAATCCAACCACTAAAATAGGTTCTAAAATGTTAAATGGGTGGTGACTTCACCTACCCCAAGATGGGATCCAAAACGGTTTTGACCACGACAGCCATTTGGCCAGGTCCCATCGGCGCGCGACACTCCGGCCGTGCCAAGCGGCCGGGGGGGCTCCGGCAGGGGCACGTCACTCTCGCCGGCGGAGGCATCCCGCAGCAGCTCCGCTACGGAGCTCCAGGCCACGTTGCCCATGGAGCCGAGCTCCTAAGGCTGGAAGCATGCCAGATCCAGATGTGTCAATCTCTTGGTTGAACCTCCTTTAAAAACCGCGGTTTACGAGGAAACCAACAGGAAACCTGCATTAACAAAAAATCGAAGGGCCCCGCAATGTTGAGACAATCCCACTTACATCCATGCGCAAAGGGCACCCCCCGCAAAGTTGTGTTCCTTCGCTATCAGCCAGACTGAAAAGGGCACCCTCAAGACAAAACACCCACAGCAATGTCAATTTCAAGGGAAAGCCGTGGTAAAGCCATGCGTGGAGCACACCGAGGAACTTCCCTACAACAAAGAAACACTTTCCCAGTCAAAGCTCTCACCTGAAAAATGGGTTCAAAGTCCCGTGGTGCTGACTTGCTAAGCACCTACTCCTGAGGTGCTGAGTGGCTGTATGATGTTTTATTGGGTCCTTACATGCAAGATTGATGCATTCGATTGGCAAGGCAATCCCCCTTGTTTATTCAGTCTTCATAGTCTTCCCTAAACAGGGAGAATGGAACCATAAGAGAATTCCAGGGTCACCCCCCTCACAGATCCATTTTGAAGTGGGGATGCAAGACTGCTGAGTTGGACATTGGACTCGTGCGATTGAGCTGGGCGCCCATTTGAGCCATGGTGGCGGGCCGGTGTTGAGGGCAGGTTGGTTGAAGGTTGGCCTAGCTTGGGGGTTGGGTTGGCTTAGGTTGGCTTGGGCTGTCTAGCGTTTTGTGTTGGTTTAGGGTGGGTTTTGGCTGTTAAGGATGCGTAGGTTGGGGTCGATTTGGAACAAGGATGGGTTTTAATTGCGTGGGTCTTCGCATAACACAACTCTGGTCGCGGCCCTCTTTGGACAACTGAGCAGGACTGGCACGAGACCTAAAGAAATCCGTAATTGGCGTGCTCGGAAAAACAAAAGGAAGGCCGCGCACGAGTGCCGACAGCATCAGAACAGGAGGTAAAAACCTTCGGTGGACACTAGAAGCCGTGCCACCGCCTGCAAAAGCCTGGGAAAAGAGACAAAACACACAGTGCACGTTGATGGCTTGTCTAAGCTTATTCCATGTGAGAAACAAACTGAACTGTGCGAACGCTGCACTTTGAATCATGCATGTGATTTAGCCTATTTGGGACTGGTGCCTTCAAGTCTCTTGTGAATATATTAGTTTGCTTCCAAAGAGTCAGCCATGTCTGTCTTCCAAAGCTATGACATTCAAAGCAGTGCGACTTAACTTGGATGCGCATTCTCAAGAGAGTAGCATCTGGAAAGCCAAATCCCGCGTCTTTGCACCCGTTTCCTCTGGATCCTGTGTAACTTCACAGTAAGCGCCATCTTCATCTCGCGGCTGGGTGCAGACCGAGGTCAGCACTGGGTCGTCACCGTCGTTGTCAACCTGAAAGGCTTCAAAACAACAAACAACAAACAGCAAGAGCTTGCTCAATGTCTAGTTGCGCCAAGCAAATAGAAAGCACGAGCAACGGAACGGCACAAATGTCACAAACCAACCTGGACGAACATGTCCACATACGGCAGCAGCTTCTGGATGGCACGCGGCAGCTTCTCCAGGGAATCTGCAACTTCCGCGTGGCTCACAGCGCGGCCTTGCTGACCCCGCTGGATGGCGCGCGCATAAACGGTTTCCTCCCGCGCGTGCACGTACATGAGAACCACCCGGACATCCGGAAGCTTGCGCCGGATTTTCTGCAGAACCCTGGAATACCAGCTGCCATGCCTTAGGGAACTGTCCACCAGAATGTTGCGCCTTTGCTGCAGGGAGTACATGAGGCTGAGCTCTGTCAACAAGCCAGCCTCCAGTCGCGTCATGACAGCTGCGCTCGCGCGATTCTTCTCCACATAACCCGGGTACTCTGGCAGTTCCGTGGCGAGAAGGTCGGGGTTGATGTGCACGAAGTCTGTGAGTGACAGCATCTCCCGCTCCGCCAGCCAACGGATTACTGAGCTTTTGCCCACGCCCATGGCACCGGCAGTGAAAACCAGAAGGGGCTGCTTGCGGGGCTGGCTCCCACTCTCCACCAGTCTGCGCACCAAGGCATCTTGAAAGCTCTGCCGCTCCATGGTGTAATTCCCATGGTATGAGGCATCTACCAGCTTCCGAGCTGGTGCCAACGGTCCATCTGCCAACTTGGAATCCTGCCGCGCATAGTTCTGTTGCGTGCAAATCTCCCAGTTGTAGCCAGCTGGGACCTGAAACTCCTGGAAGCTGTACCTTGGCGTTCTTCGCCGCTGGATGGACCGCAGGCCCCGAAGCGCGGCCAACGGCAACGGCAGCGCCGCGGCGGTGCGCAGCGAGAAGCTGTGCGACGCCTTCATCCGCCTCGCCGAAGGATGCTCCGGCACGGCCAGAGGAGCACACCTGACCCTCGTAAGAGGCACAGAGGCCATTTCAAAGCCCCGCGCGCGCAAATGCGAATATCTCAGGCTATATCTGTATCTCAGCTCGTGCAATTGTCAAACTGTGGCTGCAAGTCCCCGTGTGGATTGGTTTATCCTTCTTCATTGGCGTTGCTGTGGGCAACCTCTTGCACAAGGAACTCGGTTTGCCCATACTAGCCCTAGCGGGAGCTAAGGAATTATGTAGGAAATGTCTGCACGTCTTGTTCCTGCAGCTTGTGCCAAAGCAGCACAAACAGGCCGAGCAATGTAGCAGAATCATGATCTTAGGATTTGCCCTGAATTGTCTTAGTCTTTCGTTTCTGAAGCGGCCTGCAAAGCGCCAATCGGAGGGTTTGTGGAAGCCACTCTGGGAGCCCTGAAAACGGGATTTGCTCATGGAGGCGGGTGCCAACTGTTAACAGCGGCAAATCGATGCCGTGTACAAGTCCCAGGTCGCGCACCTTGCAGCTGACAATGAAGCTGCCTCCAGTACTGGCCTTGGTGCAGCTGCAACTTTGATTGTTGGGAAAGGTTCTTGCAAGGCTGAGAAACATCCAGTTCAGCCTGCCAACTCCGAGTCAAGAAAGCAGGCAATGCTTGAGTAAGCACGGCATCTCAAGAGCTTCCATGCAATGACTGCCCCGCAAGCCCATGGCTCAGGTGACCACACATGCGGAGTGTACTCCAACCACGCCCCGGCTGTCATCACAGTCACAAACAGGGCAGGTAAGGCGTGGACGTCTTCCCCCTTCTCAGCCTGACGCCGTTCTGCCCCATGGAAAGCCGCTCACCAAAAGCCGCGCCTAGTCAGCGCCCACATGATGTTGGTGATGCTCTGCGGGCTCGCCTGAGAGGGCAGGTGACTCTGACTCAGCCAGATCCCATGTGCATTCTTCCCACACTTGCGAAGGCAGGCAAAAACCATATTGGGCAATAGATTAAAAAAATAAATCGCCTGCAAGGCCTTGCGTTCTTAAGCTAGCAACAATTCAGCAAAAGGCGTCTGAACAAGACGCATTCTTGCGTCAAGCAACCCTTGCTGCGCTGGCAGGGCTTCCAAGAAGTGCAAGCTCCAAGCTGACGTGACCGTGCGCCTCCTGTTCTTGAAAAGCTCGCTGCAAGCCTGCTTCTAGCTGCTGGAATCCTGAGTTTGTGAGGCCACACACAATCAATCCAAAGGCGATATCAGCTCACCCTGTGCTCTTTGCCTGCAAGTCGGCAGCGCGAAAGCTAAGTTTCACCAACCCGAGGTCCGCGCTCTCATCAGGCGCAGCGTCCACTTTGGCGATACGATATGCAGCTGCAACCTTTGAGGCACAATGCAGGGCAGGTTCTCCCAAGTCAAGACCACCTCCTGCCACTTGAGAGGCTCTGAGTGCAGAAGTCGGGGCATTTGCATTCTGACAAGTCTATGTTGGAAATCACAGCCCTCCGGGTGCGCAGCGATGGCCACCAAGTCCATCTGCTACATGTGTTGCTCACAAATGTTCAGCACATCCTTGGCTTCGCATTCCGTGCCCTGATGGCACAAGTTTAAACTCTGAACTTGAGGGCGAACTCTGCAAATGAAATCAAGCAGCCTGCCGCTGCGCACTTGCAGCAAAGCCGAACACCGCCATTCTCCAATGTTTCTACAGGATTTATCGAGGCATTGTTTAGCCTGGCGATTATCTGGTCTACCTCATCTTGGCCCTCCGGCAGCAGATGTGGCGGCAATGCTGACCTGAGTGGTGCTGCTCATCAAAAAGGCTGGCAGACTTCGCTAGGTGTACACACCTCTTTTTACAAATGCCACCACAGCCTACTCCTCCTCCGCCTCCTCTGCAACAAAAACAGCAACGACAAAAAGGCACCGGAACCATAACAACGATACCAGCAACCGCAACAGCAATACCACAGCAGCTGCAACCTGCCAAATGCCAGCAGCCTGTCAGTCACCAAAGATTTCACCAAACGTCCAGTCGCCACAGCGTGTTTTCTCTCGCACAGGCCTTCTTGGTGATGGCGCTCGCGCTGAGCGCCGGTGACCAGGTCTGCACCCTGCAAGCGGGCGCAAAAGCACCGCATGGCCACCAGACCCTCTTGGGCGATGACACGAAGCAGAAAGCTGATCCATCGGACAAGATGGGGCATGAGGAAGCGGAATCGGAGCATGACTGGCATGACTGCGCCTTGGGCTGTTTTCCTGGAACCAACATGGCCATGGGTCAAAATCCAGCACCCCCAGTGAACATCCCAAAACCCACTAAAGTAGAGTAACATTGGTGGTGCACCTACCCCAAAATGGGATCCCATTGGCTTTTACCCATAGCCACATGACTTCATGTTGGCATCCTTTCCTCGAGCCGAAGCGGTCACCTCAGGCCCGGCCTGCGCATTTGCCCCTTCGCCTGAAGGCTGCATAGCAGGTGAACTTTGCCAACGTCGCCCCAGTCAACCGACTAATGCAACCCAACACCAGCAGTGTCAAAACAAAGTGAGAGCCAAAGCAAAGGCAGTCATAACAACCTGACAAAACCGTCCGCTCATTCTCTGAATGATTGCGCCCTATCAACAAAAATAGGTGTGACATTATACACATATACATATATACACATGTATGTACATATATATGTGTACAAATATATATATATATATACACGTATATATATATATATGTATATGATATATATACACTTATTAATCTCTGAAATATTAAACTAACACTGCGCTGAGTCATTAAACTAACACTGCGCTTTCTTCACTACTAAAAAGAAACAACGGAGAAATAGAGACAAACAGAGAGAGGGAGAGTAGAGTGAGACAGAGAGTCAAACAGACAAAGGGAGTCAAACGAGAGAGGGAGAGAGAGGGATAATCAGAGAGAGGGAAAGGGAGAGGGATAGAGAGACAAAGGAATACGTTGAAGACCCTCTCGTCCACCCAGAAGCTTTCGCACCTGGGGAGGGATTGCAGTCAGGTACACATGGAATTTCAACTTTCAAAAAAAACACATACAAACAAAACAAAACAAAACAAAACAAACATATGCCCTACCCGATATGGAAGAAGAAAGATTGTCCGGCAAAGGGCCCCCTGACAAGGACAAATTCTTGCAGATCCCACTATTTCAGGCGAAGCCTGGCAAGCCATGCAAAGCTACAGTCATTCAGGAGTCCGAAGCCACATCGCGGAGGGCACTTCCCATCCCGGCTCCCAGGGTCCTCGTCATCACCTCAGGTCAAAGCGTAACGGTTTAGAAGACAAAGCCATGGAAACCCGCGAGCAAAACACGAAGCGCATCCTGTTCACAGATGCGACAGATGATGGGTCGCGCAAGGCTCGCCAAAACTCTCACAGAGAGCCTCCCATGAGAGGCATACTCAAAGAGCCGCATTCCGAGTGATCAGCCCCTGCTTCGATTGTCTAAAAAAGAGAGCAAAAACACACACACACAAAACAAAAATGAGCTGAGAGTGCCAAGTGCCCAGCGCGAGCTGGCCATGGGCTGCTGCGAGCTCGAGGTCAATGGGGCTCGTGTGTATATGTGTCAGCTCGTTTGACTGCTCGTTTGACTGGCGAGGAGCTTAAGTGTCACATGCCTAAAACTGGGACTTTGAAGAAAACGCTTTGAGCTTTCCATGGGCTTCTGTTCATTTTGCATGACTGTCTTGCTTTTGGGTTGGCCCCTTGTCACCCGCAGCTGCAACTGGGGTCACGAGAGGGAAAGCAACATGAGCCAAACCACTGCGGCTTCTCGTCATGGCCGTCTCTACATGGCCTGCAAGCGGAGATGCAGAAAGGGCGGCACTGCAGAGTTGCTAAACAACACGATATGTTGCTTCACTGATTTGGCTTGGGGCCTTGACGGTTTTCAAGCCTGTCAGCCTCATTCTTCCAAAGGTCGGCAGGCCCTGTGCCGTCGCTGCCCGTCTCAAACAAGCATGCCAGCAAAATGCATTTTTGACAATGCAACGGATATAGAATCAAAGTTCTCAATTTCCAAATGTTGCCAACAAATTGCAGAAAGCTGTCTCAGCCTCCCCCAAGCTGATGCGCTACTGATGTACACAGCCGGTGCTCGTATATTTTGATGCGCTTGTATTGCTCGCAGGTCTTCCGAAGCATTGCTCACATGTTTACTCTGCCATGATGCTTGCCTCCAATCCTGGGCTGCACTGCTGCCACACGGCAAGCCTTGAGGCTGTGTGGCTGAGAGCGGGACCTGTCTTGAGCGACTCCGGCCATGTCTATGGCAACTGTTCCCAGCCTTGCCGGTTTTGAAAACGTAAAATTTGAATGCTCTGGCAGTCTGCGATGTCTGCAGCATCAAGTTGCTCCTACCTCTGTCAGACTTCAAATCAACTGACCCGGGAAAAACGAACATCCTCGGCACCTTTCTGCAACGCAGCTTCACAAGCAAGTATCGCAGAAGTCTTGCAAAATGTGATGCAAAAAACATTGCGTCGTGAACTCGCATAACTGCTGGAACCTGCCCAGAACAAAATCTTGGGAGCCCAGCCAGGGCTGCTCCAAAGCAAAAGGCCAATACCTGCATTCAAGCACTGCTCACTTCAGTGCCTCGGCATGAAAGGACACGCGTCGCATGCGGAGCTTCTGACTTTCAATCCTAAAACCTCCTGTGATTGCCAGTGATACTGTGGGCACCTCCTGCAAAAATCCCTGGGATTTTGATGATTTCCCTCAATGTGCCAAGCTATGGTTTCCCATCATTTCAAAGTGGTGCGAACGGCTTTCGTCCATCCACAGCTTCGGTCCTCGTGGCACATCGCCGTTCGCAATTTTGAAGGCCTGGCCATCGGCGGTGCTACCAAAAGGACACGCCCACCTGCGCGGGTGGTTGCAACCTGCGTCCTGCAAGGGGCTGGAGCGTACGAAAGTGAGAGCAACGACGACTCTTCCGAAAGAAGGAATGTTGCTTGCGTACAAAAGAATTATGCAGTTGATTTGCCTTGCGTACAAAAGAATTATGCAGTTGATTTGCGCATCACTGGTCACCGGAGCATGCA